TTTGAGTTCAGTGAAGCAGTCAGTCAAATACACAACATTTACTCTAAGTACCTAAATACTTACACAGCTGTACCTAAGTACTTAGAGTAAATATACTCAGGAGGTACTCGTAAAGGATAATTATGAGGTAATTATTCGTTTACTTCCACAATCTCCACCTAAACCAGCAAATCATCCATCTTTTGCCCAAATTGTTTTTATGTGTGTAACAAGGCTGCTGGTGTTAAAAAGTCAATCAGATTTTGATACTGACTGAAGGAAGAAGGAGACCAGTGAGACGCTGACGACCAGCAGATCCAACAAGTTAAACCAGTTTCTGCAGAACGAGCCCTGGTGGAGGAACGCTCCGTGGACGGTCATCTGACAGAGAGATATAATGTCAGCATTACATCCAGAGCACAGGACATTTTATTATTCCATCCTAACTGAAGGTGATTTTTACCTTTAACAGAATCTCCACAGTGAAGATGGAGGTGAAGGCGTAGTCTGCATAACCCAGAATCTACACAAATGAACACAAATACACAAGTAAATACACACAACACATAAACGGAGATAGAAAGTAAACAGTTCCAGATTATTTTCAGTTTTACTACAGAATGGAAAATAACCCCAAAATCTGCCCCACAGTTTGTCTATATGGGGGGTCAGAAATGTGTCTTTCCATCACAATCTCTAGGCTCTGAGATCTTAAACACAAAGTGGGGACACAATCTTTGGTCTTGAGCTCAGACTGTCTCACATCAACACAGGGGAGTCCCAGGTCAGGACCAACACAACAGAAGTTAGAGCAGATGAGTCAAAATTTAGAAAAAGGAAGTTAAAGTCAAGAGTCCAGTTGAAGAATCAACAAGTCCCAAGTCAAAAGGGGAAAGTCCTAAGACCAGCACATCTCTGGTCCAGACCATAAAAGTCCCAAGACAGATGAGTTCCTTGTACAAAGTCCTAAGGCATGAACAACAAGTCCCAAAGATTTGTTGAGACGGATAATTTCCCAGTCAACACAGGTATGTTCCAAGTCAAGATTTAGAAGTCCTAAATTACACCAGGTAAATGAAGTGAAGACCAACTTATCCAAACTCAAGAAAACTAGGTCTCAAGATGAGTCCTAAGTCTAGACTCACTCCAATGTCAAGACAGGTAGGCCCCAAATCAAGACTAAAACGTCAAAGGTCAAGACCAATAAACCCAGAGTTAGTTTAAGTCAGAAGGCGAATGAAACCTGAGTCATTGGTGTTGAAGTCAAACTAGAGTTGCAAGTCGACTCTTTCATTTACCATCATAGGTCTCACAGATCAGTGACAGGAATTTTGAGTCAGATCATTTGGTTCAGCTCAGCAATAAGAACCAGTTCTTTGGAATCACAAATACATCTTATGGCTTTTATAATTCATCCAAATTTAGCAATATTTTTGATTGGTCTGCGTGCTCGTATATCTCTTAAATTATTTTAAATTAAAATATCCAGAATACCATAATGTTACATTATACATATATTGGGTCTAAATGTTATTACCAAAGCAAGACATTTGTGAATAAAATACGTGACAGTGTCATCATATTATTCTGTCTACTTTTAAAAAAGAAGCGGCTTCCGCCTCCGCTTTATTGCTGAAAACATTGAATGATGTCTGATTGGATTTGATTTTAAACCAAAATTGTTCACATCGACTGGATCAGGAGATTTTGACTATGGTAACGGCTGCGGTCGCTAGGCTAGTTCTTTCAAATTTCTGTTTTATGTTTTAATTTTTTTACTTTTATGGCTGAATCAAGTATTACCTCTGACAGAAACAGCCTACAGTCATCAGAAAAAGAAGCTGGGGTTTGGATTAAAGAATAGCGGACTTTGAGCCAGATCAGCCCTAAGAGAAGAGGAAGAGAGCTGATAGGAGCTATGCTAGTCCAGTTTGGACTTAAGGCTGCTCCTGGCAAATCCAGTCTGGACCAAATGGGACTCAGGCTAGCCACCAGAGGCTGCTCCATCAACATCCCAGATTCTCGGCAGTCGGACCATGTTCTGGCTGGCTCTGTGTTTACATTGATAATGCTCGGTGCTGACACTGTTTTCATGTTCAATTCAATTCAGTTTTATTTTTATACCACCAATTCATAACAGACTTTATCTCAGGACACTTTTCAAATNNCCTTATAACATTATTTACAGACACCCAACAGTACCACCATGAGCAAGACCTTGGTGACAGCGGCAAGGAAAAACTGCCTTTTAAGTGAAGATGAAACCATATTATCATCACTATCTTGTTGCTGCTGTTACACAAATTAAAAAGATGATCTGGCACAACTATTTCCTGTATGGATATGAATATAAATAACTGTATTTATTGATTTTATTTTATATGTTATTTGTGCATTTAACTATACAGTATTTTTCTTGTTGTGTAGCATGAGGGAACGAAAAATGTTTCATGATGCAATCATTCTGTTGTGCTAATGATAAATACAGTTCCTTGATTATCCAGAACAGTGAGAAGGCTCATACAGGGTTAACGTCCGAGGTGTGTGTTCATACAGTTGTGTGTGTGTGTTGATTGTATGCTTATAAGGTAAATTTGTCTCCTCAGCTGCTGCTAATTGCTACGTCTTGCATGACGACAGCTGCTGCACAGCCAGTGTGTGTGTGTGTGTGTGTACAGTTTTCTCAGCATCAGACAGTAAACTGGTGATGTTTCTCTCTCTGTGGCGCTTCCACGTGTTTCCTCTTTAACCCGGTTAGTCACTGACCCACTTCTGCTGTGTAATCTGCTGAAGCCCCGCCCCCCGGCTCAAACCACAGACCACAGACCACAATCTGCTCTGATTCAGAGCAAAAAACTTCCATCACCTCAGTTTTGACTTTCATTGTTAGCTTAGCCATTGACCATGCCTAACAATGCTAGTTTGTTTTTATTCAGTGCATTTAATTTGAACTTTTGTGATTTATCTGTAAGTGATGTAACTCTTCTAGATCACATGTTAGCATGTTCCAGCTAGCAGCTACACCCTGACACATGCGATGATGTTGTTTGTGGACTCACATTGTTCCTGAAAGAGTGGGCTCTGATTGGATCCTCAGCAGCCAATGAGCAGCTGCTGAGGATGATGAAGACGAGGATGAGGTTGGTGAAGATGTGGTGGTGGATCAGAGTGTGACAGGCCACACGGATCCTGGAAACAGACAGACACAGACAGACAGAGAGAGAGAGAGACTGTTACTGGTAATTTTTACTTGCTCCTTTACAAACAAAACAAAGTTTTATTTATTATGAAATAACGTCCTTCTTAGTATCGACCAGAGCAGCGAGATACTGTCAACCCTTCAGTACAGCGACTTCATAAACCGCCACCTCACTCTGAAATTTTAAGCAAGTTAGTTTCACCCTCAACCTCTAACGCAGTGGTTCTCAACCTGGGATTTCACAGCGGACAGAATAATAAAGTGATTATATAGAGAGCTGGTAATGTGGCCAACAGGTTGTGTTTTGTGTACATATTTATCTGCACTACTCTCGCCCACATCAATGCACTCACTGTACTACTGATAATACTGATTTACATGTAATTTGTGCATAGTTTAATATTGTTAAAAAAAACATTTGTTTTACTTTAAACCAGGATTATTTGTGTCTCCCTTGTTTGCTCTGGACTTTGAGCTGGTTTGTGGCAAAATGGGGGCTCCTCTAAAAAATGGCCTAGCTTGTAGCTGTGGCAATCGAATTTTGACTTTCCTGGTAACACTTGGACATGTTTATTCTGTGCCACATTTGATTATGAAATTATTCCACTATTGTTACTTTTTGGGAGAGGTACACACAGATTTTTGTTTTTTGGAGAGAGGCAGCTTGGTCAGCTCCTGGTAGCTCAGTGATTTAAGGAATTCTGTTCCATGAAAAGAGTTACTAGCCCAGTGTGGCATTTTACTTTCCCCAAGCAAACAGGCAGTCTTATTGTTGAATATAAATATACAAATATTAATATGTATCAGTACATAGAAAGGGTCGGGTTACGCTCAAAAATTAGTAAGTGTAGGATGTGTTGTCCAACGACATCAGAAGGCAAAAGGAAATATAAAACATGGAGGTTTCATCATTTCACAGACAGTAACAGAGGTTACTCTACTTGTTATGCTAATGCTAATGCTAACAGTAACACAGGTTGACCAGGTGTAGTCAGACTTACGGGTTTGTCTTGCTGAGGCAGAAGAACGCACTGCCTTCTGGGATTGGAAGAATCTTCTCTTTAGGAGGAGCCAGGTCGGCCATCTTTAGCTGGACTCCTCCATCTGCCCGGAGGAGAGAAGACAGGAGGCAGTCAGTATCATAAGAGACTGTAACAATATCTTCAGTATGTCGCCTCGCTGTTATTGTATTATTATTCATATAATAAACGTTGCCAACTCCGCAAACTCAAAGCTCTTTCTGTCACCTTCTGCTGCTGCTTTATAAAAGTATTGTACAACCTCCACTGTTCCACCTGTTTCTTTAACCTGTTAACTGCCTCCAACAAGAACAAACTCATATGCATCACAAACAGCGCCTCCACAATTATCGGTCTCCCTAGCCCCAACCTCTTAGACCTCAACAGCAACGCAATTACACGCAGAGCACACGACCCCAGGCACCCCCTCAACCCCTTTTTCCCAGCCGCCCGCAGATACAGATCACTGACCTGCAAACGAGCTCGCTATGGCAGAAGTTTCGTCCCTTCTGCCCTTGTGAGCTCAACAAAACTCCCCGGTAGCCGTTGTGTAATTACCTGTGTTGTGTTTAGATGTTCGTGCTGTGTTTAAATGTCTGTCCTGTAGTAATGTGGTGTTTATACGTGTATGTATGACTGTGACAACAAATTTCCTGAAAAGAACAATAAAGAATCTATCTATCTATCATATACAGGACAGAGCTCTGTAAATGTGCAGCTAGCTAAAAGGCTAATGTTTATCTGTAGAACCATTTTTTAACTTTATTGGTTCTTCATGTTGACCCTTTTCTGCCTTCATTGAACGCGTTCATTTGGTTTTGACGGTGTCCAACATATCACTGTGTTCCCGTGGTGCCATTGGAGGAGGACAAACTCTCTAAATGACTGTTCGGTTCACGGTTCTCAAATTGATCAAATCGAGTCCCGGGAGTTGTTTATGAGGGAAAAGTGCATATTTATATTTTTTTTGTTGAGCAGCTTCTCTGCCTCAACTCTCAGGGATTCACTGAGTTTACTAATGGACGTTTACTGGTAGCTATTAGCTAACCGCTAACTGTTAACAGAGTGGGATTTGAACGCTCCTGTACTGGAGATTAAACCCTGACACTGCCCCGATGCTCTGAGCTCCCCGTCCCGACAGAGTCTTCTGATAGGAAGTTATGTCAGCTGCACTGCTACCAGCTAACCACAGCAGCTACAGTAGTTAGCAGCTAACAAGTAGCTAAGGCTTCATCAGGAAACTCTGTAAAGCACTTAAGTTGAAGAAGAGCAGCCGATGGACAATCCTATTTTCTCTCTTTACGTCATTTGTTGTTTTCCAAACTGACCTTCCTCTCCTTCAGGGAGCTCCTCTTCCTCCTCGTACTCGGTGTCTCCATCGATGTCAACCTGGAGAGACAAACAGTGAGACTGATGGACTCAACGTTTAAAATTCAGGATTTAAAGTCGGACCTCTGCATTCACCTTCACTTCTTCCTCTTCAGCCTGTTCTTCCTCCTCCTCCTCCTCCCCCGCTCCCTCCGTCTTCTTCCTGGTGAAACAGAAACAGACGGGAAATAAGAAACAACTCTCATCTTTTTCTTTATTTCCCTCCGTGCCTCCATCACTCACTCTTTACTCTTGTCGTCTCCGTCTCCTCCTGCCAGGTTGTCCACAGCGATGGCCAAGAAGACGTTCAGCAGGATGTCTGACACACGTTAAGAACAACATGACACTCACATTGCACAGGATTATTCCTGTTTATATATATTTATATATATGCACTTATTTTTATAACTATATTGTTTATTTTCACTGTCTTTGTTCTGTGTTCACATATTTACTGTCAATAAAGATGATTCAAAATGCTGAAATTCAAAATTTACTCCAGTACTTTTTACTTTGAGGTTCTTTACTTGGTTATTTCCATTTTATGCTGCTGTATATGTCAGGGCTAGTGTTTTGACTAGACCCAGGAGCAGACACACAGACAGGATGGACGGTTTTAAGGGTCTTTATTCAACACACACACGGGGGGGATGAGGGGCGGCCACAGCAGGAACAGGCAGGTGAAAGGGCAAAGACACCGGAGACACGGAGGCACAGGAGAGCTGACTCTGGAAACAGAACTGCACGAGAGGGTCCCTGGAACGCAGGAGAGAAATGGTCAGACTGAGTGAATGGAGGCCACACCCTCATCAGATACACACAGGGAAGGAGGAGGAGTAAAGGGAGTAGGAGGGGAGCAGAGCCATGACAGTATACTTCGACTCCACTTTATCTGACAGCTTTAATTCCTTTGCAGATAAAACCATAATCTCACTGTCACATTTATCTGTAAGTATATCGAGTATGTATAAATATGTTAGTACTTCTACTTCAGTGAAGTATGCGAGTACTTCCTCATCCGCTGGATGAAGGATACAGTTACCGCAGATGAAGAGGATGACGAAGTAAACACAGACGATCATCCCTGGAAACACGGGGCCGCCGTACGCCATGATGCCATCGTACATCACCACGTTCCAGTCTTCTCCCGTCAGGATCTGAACACACAGCAGTGACATCACTGACCAGCTCGCAAACTTTATCGCTAGCAAAATACACTATTTATACTATCTTATATATATTTTATAATATACTATATATCAGTGGGGGACCCTCAGGACCCTTCTCTCATCTATGTTCTAAAGTTAAGCTTACTGTCAAGTTCATGTCCTGAAACATGTTATCCAATCAGAATTGTCTGTCTCTATTAAGGCCCAGTTAGCTGGCTCATTAATTGGTTACGTTACGGACTTCACCAATCCCGGGGGAAGGCCAAGCTATGGTGTTTTGGTGTGTTTTAGAGTAGCGGGCAAATTGACCACATCATAGTTTGATTTCACAGTGGCAGAAGAAAAAAACAAAAGATCGTAGGCCTTCATGAAGTCCGAACATCAGAATCGTCTGCAGAGTGGTGAGAGCGGGTTGAGAGACAAATTTAAATGGCGGTAGAGACGAGGTGACGTTGTGGGGTAGCTTGATAGCATCGGGCCTTTTTCAAGCAGCCTTTCACAGAAAAATTCAAATAATAAAAAAACGGAAGACAAACTCCAGAACTCCAGGATAAGAAAAGGTTAAGAAAGTGGAAAGGCATTTCAAGACCGAAAATTATTCAGCGATATCCATGGATGATCGGGCTGTAAGAAGACAAACAGGCTGTACTGCTTGAGTTGTTTAACTTTTTACAACTGACAAGTCATCCACCTGGGTCAGCGCCGTGGATTTTGGTCAGCTTCATCGGATAATTCGTGACTATACAGTTCATGTTTGGGATATCCACACGAGGATCTAATGATTTCTGCTGGTCACACCTGCGAGCGACGTGTCAGAGGTTTGAGAAACTCTATTTGGGGGACATCTAAGATAGTAGATGTTACAGACTAAAAGATGGCTATAGCTTGCCGATATGATACATTTACTAACGGCCCACATGTATCAACAAGGTCAGACTAGAACATATGTAGAGATCGTAGTAAACTTTCATTCTGTGATATTCATGGTCATCTGGATTTCATACGGACGCACTAGTTTTCATCGGCACCTCCAGGCAATTTTAAGTTTATGACATCGATTATGTACCTGTATTCAAAATTCTTGTGGTGGTGGTGGCAGATAGTACAGAGAGCGTGAGCAGATGAGGTGAGGATAGGTGAGGTAATCTATCTTCCTTTTGGTGTTACTCATCGTTTTTTAATAATAGGAGCTGAGGTACATATCTGGAGGTAAGTAACTACCGCGTTTTTGAAGTGTGTTTTATTGTAGTATTGTGATGATGCTCATGAATTTTATGTGTGTCAATTGTGTGAATGAGGTACGTATATATGTCGCGGCTGTTTGGTTCTATAAGCGAACTTGAATCCATGTTATGTATAGAATGGAGTAATGGCCTCAGTGTCGGTTGTGTCAGGCAGCTGTGTAATTTGCGAGTGTCTGAGATAGTCTGGTTATGATTGGTTCACAGTGGTAAGAACATATACTAGCGAGTGTGAGAGTTGATCCGTAATTAGTTAAGGAGTATTATATATAAATCGCTAGATATTATGGTATGTGAGAGTTTGTTGGGATAGTGTATGATTCTTGGGCTGGTTTGATGGAGAGCTAGATGTTGGGTGGATATCTTCTTT